TAGACTCCTGCATATGAGACCAGTGGGGTGAGAAAAACAGAATTTCTTTTCTTTAAACATTAACCCACCTCACCTTAGACTGTATTTTCTAACTCCAAAAACTATCAGAGTATACTGTCACATGACTTTACGCCTAGCTGATACATTAACTAAACTTACAGTTGCCAACTATCTCTGAGAATGGAAAGCATGAATCACAGTAACGGAGGAAAAGGCAAGATATCTGTTCCCCCAAATCACAAGATTGACATTTTTTTTAATAATTTAAAAATTGTTTCCAACCATTTTCAAAATACTTGCCTCAGGTAAGTAGTTGACTTATCAAGATAAAACTATAAAAATTCTCTAGTTTTGTTTCAAAATTTTAATGTTTACTTTCCCTTTATTTCAAGATAACTTCATTTATTTATATGTATACATTTTTATTTACAATTTTATTGTTTGTTTGCTTTTGGTAGAGCTGGATCTCACTCTGTGGCCCAGACTGATCTTGAACTCCTGGGCTCAAATAATCCTGTTGCCTTGGCCTCCCAAAGTACTGGTATTACCAGTGAGCCACCATGCCCAGCCTACTTAATTAGTTTAAAATAACTCAAATCTGGCACTCAAACTGGTGTCAAAAATTTTCCCGAGGCTGTTCTACAAATGGTAAAATGCTAATATCTGGTAAGTTTAATGCAGTTTTAAACAAGGTAGTTAGGTAATGAAGTGGTGGCTAACTAATTAAGAGGTGCAGATTTTCATAAAGACTTTAAGAAATTCAACTAAGAAGCTTTTCACGACCAAAAAAAGAAAATCAGTTTTACAAGATGAGAAAAACTAAGGTCCCTGGAAATACAACAATTTGCCCAAAAGCACCATTAGATTCATGCTTAACTGGAGAGACACCCAATGGTGCAGCTTCCAATTCTCACTCACACTGACTATAATCATGTCCTCATATAAAATAAAAGCCAGAAGTAGAAAGTGTATCCAATTTTGGTCAAACAAGAACATATTCTGAAATGTCCTGTTGTGTTTCCACTGTACAGCTGCTGGGAGTTTGTTCAGCCTCTGTCTGTGCTGATTATCACACTGTATTGAAATTGTTTCATCTTTACCAATGTTATGCCAACAAGATAAGGAACAGCTGAGCCCCTTGGGGACCCACCTCATTCATTTATTAAGCACCTGAGTATAGTCTGTGCCAACACTAACATAGCAGGTCCTCAACAGATGGTCATTTACTGGAACGAAACTCGTGATCTATTTGATACATGGCATTTTCTCAGAGGTACATCTTACAGCACTATTAACAAATGAAATAAGGTCAGATGATCTGGACCAATTTGCATTGGTATGTCACATTTGGTTTCTTCTAACAAATGCTTCCTTTTTAGAAAATTCCTTAAGCTCTTCAAACAGGAAACTTAACCCAAAAACAAAAACCTTCCATTTGCAGGGCCATAAAAAATTATAGGAAGTTAAATTCATTAATCTGAAAAAAAAATCAGAGGATTATCAACAGAAGACATTTCCTCGTGCTTGGTAGCAGCTAGTGCATTACGAAAATTACAACACACCAGCCAAACAAGCTTTACTATCTCTGAACCAGACACTGCTGTGGGGCCAAGCTGACCTGCCCTGAGCAAGTTGATCAAGAATTACCATGGCAGGAATTCACACAGAAGAAAAATTTAAACAAATGGAAACTAGTACCAAAATTCCAATGGACAATAAAATTTCAGCAAGTGGGTAGGTAAGTGGAGGAGTGAAGATATTTTCCAAGTTTCCTATATCTAAAACTGGCGCAAGAAGTATGGGGAAAAGAAGGGACGTTTCGTTCTCAATCACACAAAGTATCTGCTACAAGTTTGGTTTCTGCTCTGCTGGGTCATTTCTTGTCTGGTGGAGGAAACAAATCCACCTTTCGATGATGGATCTTGGTTTTTTCCTATTACCCGGAAAAATGGTATCTTCTAACATCCTTTCTGGGCACATATCACCCTGTTCAAGATATGTCAAATGATCTGCTTTTGACAGATCATTTTGACAGATCAAAAAAAAAAAAAAAAATGCAATCCCCACTTACTCTACTCAAACCAGCTGGGACCAACTGAACTTAGGGGTGGGAAGAGTCAGTAAGAGGCCCACAGAGGAGCTAAGCAGTGAGGAGTGACCTGTAAGACACCTACCTGGAAACAATTCATTATTGAGTGAAGAATCTAAAGAGAGGTCCAATGAATATTTATGTCTGATCCGGTGAAAGACAGCAGTTTCCTTATACCTGGTCTTCTCTGAGAAGGAAGACTGGGAGGGGCAGGGGTGACCTGAGCAGGGGGCGGGGTTAAGGATTCCCACTCCAGCCTTCCTATACATGGGAGGTGTTTATATTAATGGTTGCTTCTACCAGGTCTGAAATGGCATAATCTCCACTGTTCCTTAAACACCTGGTAGATGACATAACAATAAGAAAGATGATGCTGACAATGACACTCACTGAGTTCCAGCCATGTACCAGGCCCCGTGCCTAAGTAATACAACAATATTAACATCTCCTTTTGGTAGATAAGGAAAGTTTAAGACCTGGCAACTTGTTCAAGGACACAAAGCCAACAAGCCAGGACCTGCCAGGCATGGTGGCTCACAGCAGTAATTAGGTGCTTCGGGAGGCTGAGGTGGGAGGACCCCTTGAGCCCAGGAATAAGAGATCAGCCTGGGTAACATAGAGAGATCCAGTCTCTACAGAAAATTCAAAAATTAGCCAGGCATGGTGGCACGTGCCTGTAGTCCCAGCTACTCAGAAGGTGGAGGTGGCGGAATTGCTTGAGCTTGGGAGTTGGAGGCTGCAGTGAGTCGCCATGTTCATGCCACTGCACTTCAGCCTGGGTGACATTGTGAGATCCTGTCAAAAAAAAAAAGGAACCAGGCCCTGAACTCAGGAAGTCTGACATTAGAACCCAAATTCTTTGTCACTCTCTTTAGACACAGCATCTAAATAAGAACATCAGACTCCTTATGAATTACTGGTTCCTCACTTCGTGTGGGTGATGGTCCTAAATCTGGTACCTATTTAGTTCTCCACCTGAGATATTAACCCTCAGGGCAGTATTGGCCTGCTCCTCTCAGGTCGTCCCCACACCCTGTCCCCACACCCTGGCTGAGTTTCACTGAAACACACTGTGACATTCAGCCCAGGTGTGCCAGAAAGCCCCAGCTGCACTGAGGGGGAGGGGAGGGAATAAAAGCTGGAGGCTGGCTTCCTCTTGGGACATGCTAGCTCTCAAGTTTCCAGCCTGCTTCTACACAGAGAGGTGTAACCACACACAAGCAGGACAAGAACACCACCAAGGACTGGAACCAGCCTCACTACCCAGTAGTACCCTTAGGCCTGAGGCCACCGCAGCAGACATGAGAGAGTATTCAAGCTGCTCCAGATTCACAGTTCCCTCAAGAGCTGGTCTTAGGAGAGAGAAACTGAGAAGGCATCACCTCTTCCCAAGCAGCCCCTCCACAGGAAGAAGAGGAAACCTGCCTCCTCGAAGAGAAAGGAAAAAAAGAAAAAACCAGAAAGGCTCCAGGATCCACTCCCTGTTTGGAATCGCCCTGCACCAATATCTGTGCAGCTATCACTCTGGGAGACCCCAGCATTTGCTCTGTTGGCCGTAGCAGTGGCACGTCCCGCTGTGCCAAAAGCTGAAGCCACAGGGTCTCAGTTCCACCCCTGAGCTAACACAAGGCTCCTGAATGCTCCTTTGCCATGTGTTGATCTTGCAGCAGAATGTGGGACAGAAGATTTAAAAAGCTATGTGATGGGGGAAGGGCAGCCAGATCACCTTACACCAAGGCTTCTCCATCAAGCCTCCTTGGATTCCCTTTAGGGGCAGCATTACCAGCTTCAAGAGAGGCTTTCCTCAAACTGGCACTATAAGAGCACGTGTTGCCTCCAGGGGTGCGCATGGGAGGGGGCTGCGGGGGGCACTGCAGTCTAAAGAATGGAGGCAAAGCACACATCATCTCACCCTGCACAGGACAGCAATGCCTTACTCCAATCTGAGTTCCCCAAATCTGACAAGTGGAGGTGCCAGCAGGGTCCACCCTGGGGACCCAAGGGCTGGAGGCTGTTCCTACAGAAAATGGGAAAGCAATGGGGGAAGCTCAAATTAAAGTGACCACCACGACATGGGCTCAGACTGCATCAGAACCCAGTGATGCCCCTCGCTGTATCCATGCCCACCTGCCTACTCTAGGTCTACAGCGGATCAGACAGGATAACCCTGGAGACTTCCTCCAAGCCCACAGCCGGCCCCACCCTTAGGGCCTGCAAATATTACTGCTACAGAGCCTTGTCCCTCTTTCGCAGATGAAGAAACTGAGGCATTCGGAGCAAATCACGTTACTTTTTCAAACCAGGTTGAAGTTCACTTCTCTAGCCACAATTCCGCACTTTTTTTTACAGCTTTATTACGTTTCCAATTTCTCCACATACACAACTGCTGTTGCAAAGTGAATTTTAAACACCTCTAAAGGACTGAACTCAGAATGAGATGAGGGCAGTCTGGGAGTCCAACGTGGCTGTCTTGACCGCAAGAAGAGGATGGGTGCCCCCACCTCCAGCTTGTCCCCCACCCCCTCCCGGGGGATGTCCAGGTTCCGTCGTCCCCTCCCCTCAAGCCACTTCCACCGCAACCCGAGGGCGGGGGCGCAGCAGCGCGGCCCCGGGATCGCCTGGCTGGCTCTGAGGTCCCGTGGCTGAGGCGGGCGCGGGGGGCTCGGGGGGCGCGGGGGGCTCGGGGACCCTCCCCGGCCGCTCCGGGGGCTGCGGCCGCGCGCCCAGCCCAGGGGCAGGGAACTTCTGGCTGCGCGGACCCCGCCGCCCCCGCCGACCCCGCCGCCCCCGCCGCCCCCGCCGCCCCCACCGCCCCCACCGCCCCCGCCGTCCGGCGCGTGTGCCGCTCGGGCTTCCCTTTCTTTGCCTCACAGCGCGTCGGGCGCGACCCCGAGGCGGCTTGGCCACTCACCATATTACAGATGGAGGCGATGTTTCGGACAGTCATTAGTCTAAAGGTTGCAGCGATCCCTCACCGCCATCTTTACAAGGGGAAACCGGGACTGCCCATGGTGGCGCGCTGGCGGGGAGGCCGGGCGGCGACGCGGCGGCCTGGGGTCCGGCTTTCAGTTTGGCTGGGAGAGGGAGGCCGGGAGGAGGAGGCGGTGGCGGCGCGGGGAGGGCGGGGAGGGAGCGCGGAGGGGCGGGGAGTGGCGGAGCGAGGGAGCCTGGGCCGCGGCCGGCGGCGCCGGGAGGAGGGGCGGCCCGGGCGCGCTGCGTGAGTCCGCGCCGGCCGCTCCGAGCGCTCCGGGCCGGGTTCCCGAGGCCCCGCCACGCCGCCCGGGCCTGGCCTCCTGCGTTTCCTTTGGATTCCCTGCCTCTCTTTATTCGGACTGGAACGCCGGGCCAGGCTGCGAAGCGCGCCGCTGCGGCAGCGGCACCCCGCGGGTCCCCCCGGCCGACCCCGACGCGGAGGTAGCGGCCCTCCTCGGCCCTCGTCGCCGTCGGGGAGCCGGGGACGCGGCGGGGAGCGTGGTAGGGTAGGCGGGCGGTCCTGGCCGCGACGAACGCGGGGCCGCCCTCCGTCCTCGCTTTTTCTTCGTCGCCTTCCTCCCACCGCGCCCCTCGGCAGCCCCCGGTGTTTATTTTTTGGTGAGGGGTAGGGGTGGCGACATCCAACTTTTAGTTCCTCCCTGGGTTCCAACCAGATGGCACCGGCAGGGACCCAAGGAGTAAAATGGGGCGAGGACACCGGAGCGGTCAGAGAGCCCACGCCAGCCGCGGGCCGGGCGTCCGAGAGAGGGCGCCGGGAGAGGAGAGGAATCCGGGTCTGGGCGGAGGCCAGCAGCGGCGCGCTCGGGCGGTTTGTGACATTAGCAGGTCCAAAGGAGACGTCCCGGTTCCGCGCAAGCACTAGGGACTGTCCAAGGAGCGGAAAGAACGAAAACAAAACTTTTACGCATCTTCAAGGTGGGCATACCCCTCTCAGGGGCACCCAGCCCCTAGTGTTGAGATGGGCGCTGTATAGGATTGTGCACGTTTCCCGCATTAAAGGTCGTGGCTACGGGCTCAAAGCGCGAGTCTGTGCACCACTTAGCAAATAGGTTCACGCGAATTGAAGGGGCCCCTTTCTGAATGTGTGAAACAGTTACACGTACAAGTTGCAATTCGATGCTTTCAAAGGAGAAGTGCAAGTGAGATGCGTGATAAATTCTTAGATCAATATATTTAATGACAAATTGAATCAAAAGAAAAATTAATTGAAAATATCTTTTATCTAACCAAGAGTAAAGATTTGAGAACCATTGACTGCCAATATCCCTAGGATCTGGGGAGGAAATCGAAGACAGACTTGATCACTGAAGGTTTTGGGAGTCATGTGGCTGGGCTTTCTAGTTGACATGACATAATATTCCTGCTTAAGTCTTTAAACCTAAATCTTATTTCCAAATACATCCTGATGATAATTTCTTCCATTGTAAGTCATGACTGATTTTCTTTTCTCTCTCTCCCTCTCTTTGTTTTTTAAGAGACAGGATCTCACTAGGTTGCCCAGGCTGATCTCAAACTCCTGGGCTCAAGTGATCATTTCACCCTGGCCTTTGCACTGGGACAACAGGCGTGAACCACTGTGCCCAGTCTTTACGTTCGTGATCTTTAATCGCCACCATAACTATTAGGTGGTAGATGCTATTACCTCCTTTTTTGTAGATCAGTAACATAAGGCTTAGAGGATCAGGTATCCTGCCCAGATGCCTTTCCGAAGTGTTACAGATGAAGCTGGTGTGGTAACCTGGGCTGAGCACTCTGGGAGAGGAAGAGAAAAGAACAACTGAGCTATGACCAATCCCAACCCGGAGGCCCAGACAACTTTAAAGATTTGAGGATTAACGTCTCAAATTCAGGAGCAACCTCAAGTCTAAAACTCAGATCTCAGGACTCAATTTCAGAGAAGTTCCACTATAAAGGCATTAATCCAAAGCTTTAAATTATATGAAAATTTTATAACAGAGTTCAGTATTTCTGCCAGCTTTGGCACGTGGATTGCAAGGTCCACAGGATTGAAAACACCATCAACATAATGGAAATTGAACAGCATCTGATTACTGAGTGCTTTATCAGCAAGTTAAAACGATCTTTTGCATACCTTTTAATGGTGTATATCCTAAAACTGAAACGTTCAATATAGACATCCAGATTGAAACTCAGCCAGTGAATTACATACACAACAAATCAATTGAACATGGCAGACCTTTTCAGACTCATGAATGATTAAATATATTTTACACTTCCACAAGTGTGGTATTCACAGGTCTAAATTTGAAAATTCTTGGGTTGAAGAAGAATAATCATAATCTGAGCTCTCTTTGAGGAAACATTATTCAGGGATGATAAGAGGTAAAAACCTTAAATATATTGACAGGCTGATGAGAGAACTTTGAGATAAGCTGATATGCAGGTATAGTTAGGACTGGGAAAAGCAAGAAGATGGAAGGATAGGTTAGAGGATGGCACTAAATGGCTGATAGAGTTTGGATATCTGTCACCACCCAAATCTCATGGTAAGCTGGAATCCCCAATTCTGGAGGCAGGGCCTGGTGGAAAGTGTTTGGAACATGGAGAAGGATCCCTCATGGCTTGGTGCTGTCTTCACAATAATGAATGAGTTCTCCCAAGACCTAGTCATCTAAAAGTGTGTGGCACCTCCCCTCCCCAACCTCTCTTGCTCCTACTCTGCCATATGAGATGTCAGCTCCCCCTTTGCCTTCCATCATGATCAGAAGCTTCCTTAGGCCTTGTCAGAAGCATATGATGGTGCCATGCTTCCTATATAGCCTGTAGTACCATGAACCTCCTTGCTTTATAAATTACCTGGACTTCAAACCAAAATCCTGATAATGATGTGGACAGTGAAGTCCAGGCTGCTGAGGTCTCAGATGGAAATCAGGAGCTTACTGGGAACTAAAGCAAAGATTACGCCTATTATGCCTTAGCAGAGAGCTTGGTTGAATTCTGTACATGCCCTAGGAATCTGTGGAAGCTTGAACTTGAGAGTGCTGATTTAGGATACCCGGCAGAAAAAATGTCTAAGCAGCAAAGTGTTCAAGATATGGTGTGGCTGCTTCTAACAACCTATGCTCAGATGTGGGAGCAAAGACAAAAGATAGAACTTATATTGGAAAGGGAAGCAGAGCAAAAAAGTTTGGAAAATTTGCAGCCTGGCCATGTGGAAGAGAAAGAAAAAGCTTTTTGGAGAGTGGAATTCAAGCAGGCTGTAGAGCAATTATTTGCCAGAGATATTTGCATGATTAAAAAGGAGCCAAGTGTTACTATCCAAGACAATAGGGAAAAAGCCTTGAAGGCATTTCAAAGCAGTCCCTCCCATCACAGGCCCAGAGGCCTAGGAGGAGAGAATAGATTCATGGGCCATGGCCCTGTTGCCTTGTGCAGCCTTGGGACACTGCTTACCACATCCTGGCTGCTCCTGCTCCTGCTCCCACCCTCACTGTGGCTCAAAGGGACCTACAAACAGCTTGGACTGTTTGTAGTGGCAGTCCAAGCCACTTTGGAGAATGCAAACAGTAAACCTTGGTAGTTTTCATGTCATGTTAAGCCTGCAGGCACACAAAGTGCAAGAGTGATGGATTCTTGGCAGCCTCTGCCTAGATTTCAGAGGATATATGGAAAAGTCTCTTTGTCCAGGCAGAAGCCTGTTACAGGGGCAGAGCCCTTACAAAGAACCTCTACTAGGGCAGTGCAGAGGGGAAATGTGGAGTTGGAGGCTCCAACAGGGTCACTGCTGGGGTACTGCCTACTGGAACTATAGAAAGTAGGCCACTACCCTTCAGACCCAAGGCTGATAAATCCATCAGCAGCTTGTATCCTACACCTGGAAAAACCTCAGGCACTCAACTGCAGCCTATGAGGGCAGCCTTGGAGTCTTCACCCTGCAAAGCCATTAGGGCAGGACTACCCAAGGCCTTGGGAGCCCACCCCTTGTACCAGTGTGGCCTGGATGTGGGACATGGTGTCAAAGAAGATTATTTTGGAACTTTAAGATTTAGTGACATCCCTCCTGGGTTTCGGACCTGTGTGGGGCCTGTAGCCTCTTTCTTCTGGCCAAGGTCCTCCTTTTGGAATGGGAACGTTTACCCAATGCCTATACCCCCATTGTAAACAAGTAAACAACTTGTTTTTTATTTTACAGGCTTATAGGTGAAAGGGGCTTCCCTTGTCTCATGAGACTTCAGACTTTTGAGTTAATGCTAGAATGAGTTATGATTTGGGGGGCCTATTTGTAAAGGCATGATAGTAGTTTGCAGTGTGAGAAGGACATGAGATTTGGAGGGGTCAGGGTGGGATGGTATAGTTCGGATATTTGACCCAATCCAAATCTCATGTTGAATTATAATCCCCAGTGCTGGAGATGGGGCCTGGTTTGATGTGTTTGGAACATGTAAGTGAATTCCTCATGGCTTAATGCTATCTTCATGATAGTGAGTGAGTTCTCCTGATATAGTCATTTAAAAGTGTTTGGCACCTCCCCCGGACTCTGTCTCTCTTGCTCCTGCTCTGTGATATGAGACACTTGCTCCCCCTTTGCCTTCCACCATGATTAGAAGCTTTGTGAGGCCTCCTCAGAACCCGAACAGATGCCAGTGCCATGCTGCCTGTACAGCCTGCAGAACCATGAGCCAATTAAACCTCTTTTCTTTATAAATTACCTAGTCTCAGATATTTCTTTACAGCAATGTAAGAATGGCCTAATACAATAGCCTAAACCAGTTTGAGGGAGGTAATGTGTCTTTTGCTACACAAAGTATGGTTCATGGACCAACAGCATTGGCATCACCAGGAGGTTGTCAGAAGTACAGACTTTCAGTTCCCATCCCAGACCTAATAAATCAGACTCTCCAAAAAGTCTGGGGAGCACTGCTCCAGCCAATCACCTGTGGTAGAATTCTGTCTGCCTGACCAGCATCCATTCTCCTTTAAGTAAGAACTCCTAGCTTCTACTCTAGGGAACTTTCCATCTCCCACACTCAGATCTAGGGTTCAGATGTGGTTAACCTAGCCCTCTGTGGCCAGAGGAAGGCACATGACCCAGGCTTGGCCAATGACAGCACCTCATGACCCAGCCAGAGTGACTGATTCAACAAAGAGGATGTAATATGAGCCAAGCCAATGAGATTTAGCCCTGGTACTTGTGGGAAAGAAATGCTCTCCTTCCTGAGTTTGCTGAGTTGGTAAGATACTCATCTAGAGCTGCCATCTTTTCACTACCTGAGAATGAAGCCAACATTGGAAAATGGAGCTGAGAAATGAAAGCAGTCCTAACGACTTCATTTATCCACTTGTTAACAGATCTAAATCCTCAGCTTTTTAGTAATTCAAGCCAGTATAGTCTTCATTTTCCTTGGCCAGTTCGAACTGGATGTCTACTAGTTACAATTGAAGGAATCCTGATATATCAGCATCTTTCTGTCCCTGAAGTTCATTAGGCTCAATCTGAATTTTTGATGTTTCCTTTTCCTCTCTTCTTTGCCTGTGTTTAATCCATTTTGCATTGCTATAAAGGAATACCTGAGACTCGGTAATTTATAAAGAAAAGAGGTTTATTTGGCTCATAGTTCTGCAGGCTATACAAGCATGGCACCAGCATCTGCTCAGCTTCTGGTGAGGCTGCAAGAAACTTTAGCTCATGGCAAAACGCACAGGGAGAGCAGGTGTGCCATATGGTGAGAGAGGGAGTGAGAGAGGGAGCAAGAGAGAGGGGAGGGAGATTCTCTCTCTTTTTTTTTTTTAGCAATTAGATCTCGTGGTAACTAATAAAGTGAGAAAAGGACACCAAGCCATGCAGAAGGGATTTACCCCCATGACTCAAACACCTCCCACTAAGTCTCACCTCCAGTGTTGGAGAATACTTGGGGGACAAATATCCAAACTATATTGCTGCTTTGTAAACCAGTTTAGAGGGTTCACAGTTTGCCTCCTTCAGATTTGCCCTTCCTTGAGACCTTCCCAGCTAGCTTCCCACACATACTGCTCACCCGAGCCCACCAATGAATTTCTGCATCCAGGTGGCTAATGGTTCCATACTTACCCTTCAGCCATGACCAGTTTTGTGTCCATCTCTGTCCTCCCTCTTTTTGCCTAGGTGACAACCACTCAACCTCTAGATGTACCCTGCTACAAGTGGGATGCCCTTGTTATATATTCTTATAGCATCACCTGTCTTCCCTTCATGGCACTTATATTTGTAAATATATTCATGCTGAAGATCACTGCTTGAAGGCCGTGGAGTGGATGGTTCAAATGTACACCCCTGTGTCAGACTATCTGGGCAAGCTATATGACCTTGGGCAAGTTTCTCAAGCTCTCTGTACATCAATTTCCTTATTTATAAGGTGAAGCCACTAAGATTACCCCCTCAGGGTGTGATTTTGTTATTCTATATAAAGTACCAAGAACATGCCTGGCACATACTAGCCACCGTGTATGAGTGATAGCTATTATTATTGTACATGGGATTATTTGATGTTTGTATCCCACCCCCCATCAGACATGAAGAAATAGATGTGCTTTTCATCACCATTTTACACAAAGAAAAAGGCCAGGCTGGGCATGGTGGCTCACACTTGTAATTCCAGCTTTTTGAGAGGCCGAGGCAGGTGGATTTCCTGAGCTTAGGAATTCGAGACCAGCCTAAGCAGCATGACAAAACACCGTATCTACAAAGAAAGAAAATAACTAGCTGGGTGTGGTGGTGTGTGCCTGTGGTCCCAGCTACTAAAGAGGCTGAGGTGGGAGAATCACTTGAGCCCCGAAGGTCAAGGCTACAGTGAGCCATAATTGTGCCCCTGCACTCCAACTTAGGTGACAAAGTGAGACCCTGTCTCAAAAAAAAGAGGGCAGCCAGGCATGGTGGCTCATTCCTGTAACACTAGCACTTTAGGAGGCTGATGCAGGAGGATTGCTTGTGGCCAGGAGTTCAAGACCAGCCCGGACAACATAGCAAGACCCTATCTCTACAGAAAATTTTTAAAAATTAGCTAGAAATGGTGGTATGTGCCTGTAGTCCTAACTATTTTGGAGGCTGAGGTTGGAGGATTGCTTGAACCTGGGTTTGAGGCTGCAGTGAGCCATGATCATGCCACTGCACTCCAGCCTTGAGCAAAAAAGCAATACTCTGCCTCTAATAACTAAATAAAAAGGAAAGTAGTCTAGGCGTGGTGGTTGATACCTTTAACACTAGCACTTTGGGAGGCTGAGTCAGGCAGATCACCTAAGGCCAGGAGTTTGAGACCAGACTAGGCAGCATAGCAAAATTCCATCTCTACCAAACAAAAAACAAACAGGAACAAAAATTAGCTGGGTGTGTTGGTGCATGCCTGTAGTCCCAGATACTCTAGAGGCTGAGGTGGGAGGATTGCCTGAGCCCAGGAGGCAGAGGTTGCAAAGACCCTGTATCAGGAAGGGAGGAAGAAAGGGAGGGAGGGAAAAAAAGAAGGAAAGGATAGGAAGGAAGGAAAGAAAAGAGAAGCAGCTAATGAATACTGAATATTTTGACAGTTGCCTCTTAAGTGCTCTAGAAGCTTCTGGAAGGAAGGAATCTTGTGCATTAAAAAGAAAAAATCTTATCCAGTCTTCAGCACTGTGCCTGGCACATTAATTCCTTTCCTCTTTTCTACTCACTGCCAAATGGGCTATTGCCACTCACTTGATATGCAAACACTGGCTGTCTGGTATGGAAAAATATTTTTCTGGCTGTAGACTTGAGTTTGATTACCAAATTGATTTCTGTGAATTAGATTTCCATTCTGTGCAGAACTTTTTGACAGCCCTTTTCTTTAATCACCATGTATCCAATAAATATTTATTAAAGACATATTCTGTGCCAGACACTGTGTGAGGCACTTGTGATTCCGGGATAAAAGAAGGCGAAACTGGTGCTTACATAACTCAATTTCTAATGCAGCATTCATTGGCATTGTTAATTAATATCTTTGCTACTTTCTGTGTGTAATTAGTATAAAGATAAGATAACTGTGACATGAGTATCAAATTAGAATTCCTGCAACAGAAACTACAACTAAAACCATGGGTGTATTTATGGGTGGTTAAGATTCCCTAAGTTAGCCAGGCAGGGTGGCACATGCCTATAGTCCCATGTACTTGGGAGGCTGTGACGAGAGGATCACTTGAGCCTAGAAGTTTGGGTTCAGCCTAGCTGACATAGTGAGACACCATCTATTTAAAAAAAAAAAAAAAACTGGGGTGCTGAGGCGGGCAGATCACAAGATCAGGAGATCAAGACCATCCTGGCTGACATGGTAAAACCCCATCTCAACTAAAAATTCAAAAAAATTAGCCAGCTGTGGTGGCACACAACTGTAGTTCCAGCTACTTGGGAGGCTGAGGCAGGAGAATCACTTGAACCTGGGAAGCGGAGGTTGCAATGAGCTGAGATTGTGCCACTGCACTTCAGCCTGGTGACAGAGTGAGACTCCATCTCAAAAAAAAAAAAAGAAAAAAAGTTGTTTAAGCCTTTGAAACGATTGGCATATTTGGAACTGCCAAGTGAAATGCCATTGAGGATTTTTAAGTTGAGTTGGAACATGATTAGATTTTTATTTGGTAATACCTTTTAATCGACTGAAAGAATGGATTACTCTAGTTGGCTACAATCTGAGAAAAGAGGGTTAAAAGATAACAACATTTTCCTTGGTGAGGCCAGTTAGAAATCTGTGGTGGAAAGGCCCAGAATTGTTAATAGTCTGAATTTAGGGGAGTGGCAGTGGAAAAAGAGAGATGGACATACAACACTTTTTTGGCGGTAGTCAGCTGAATTTGTGATTGACAGGGATGAAAGACAAGGGTCAGTCCCAGATTCCTGAGATTTCTGACTGAAATGAAGAGAAACGTCATTTTGGGTTTTTTGTTTTGTTTTGCTGAAGGAGATGGTTCAGGTGAGGTAATGAAGGAGAAGTGAGTTTGGTTCGGAAGTGTCGACTTACAGACAACCATGGAACACCTGAATCATTCTATCAAGTAAGCCCTTCACTGTACAAGTGTAGGGCTCAGAAGAAAAGTCTGAACTGTAGAAATAAATCTAAGAGTGATTGATATATAGAAGATAATGGAGGACATGCAATTATGGATTGAAATGCCCAGAGAGAGTGTGCCAAGTGAGATATACACAAGCATGTAGTCATGAAGAGCTCCGCCATGCAGAGAACAGGTGGCTAAAGAGTAGCCAATGAAAACCAAAGGAGAAATTCCAAAGTGGCAGAGAAAAAGAACAAATTGGCCAGGCACATTGGTTCATACCTATAATCCCAGCATCTCGGGGTGCTGAGACAGGAGAATCACTTGAGGCCAGGAGTTCAATACCAGCCTGGGCAACATAGAGAGATGCTCATCTCTACAATGGTGGCATTTGCCTGTAGATCTAGTTACTCAAGAGGCTGAGGACAGAGGATTGCTTGAGCTCAGGAGTTTCAGGCTGTAGTGAGCTATGCTTATACCACTGCACTCCGACCTGGGAGACAGAGTGAGACCCTGTGTCTAAAACTAAATAAATCAGTTAAAAAAAAAGAAAGAAAATCAAAATTAACACACAACATCACAAAAGTCAAAGAGTATTTCAAGATGGAGGGAGCAGTCAAATGTATCAAATACAGCCAAGTGATCAAGGAAGATAGTATTAACAATGATCACTTCTTGAACAAGACCTTAAGATGCATTTAATCCTTTCGATGAACCTGCGAAGGAGGTAATATTAAAATCCCTTTTGCAAGGATCTCTTGGGGCCAGGAGTTCAAGGCCAGCCTGGATAGCAAGACTCTATATCTTAACAAATAAAAAATAAGGCCGGCACAGTAGCTCACGCTGTAATCCCAGCACGTTGGGAGACCAAGGAGGGCAGGTCACCTGAGGTTGGGTGTTCGAGACCAGCCTGGCCTACATGGTGAAACCCCGTCTCTACTAAAAATACAAAAAATTAGCCAGGCACGGTGACGCGCACCTGTAATCCCGGCTACCTAGGAGACTGAGACAAAAGAATCACTTGAACCCAGGAGGCAGAGGTTGCAGTGAGCCAAAATTGTGGCACTGCACTCCAGCCTCCAGCCTGGGAAACAAGAGCAAAACTCCATCTCCATCTCAAAAAAAAAAAAAAAATTAGCCAGTCATGGTGGCATACACCTATAGTCCTAGCTACTCAGGAGACTGAGGCTGGAGGATTGCTTGAGCGCATGAGTTAGAGGCTGTAGTGAGCTATGAACATACCACTGCACTCCAGCCTTGATGACTGGATAACCAGAGTGAGACTCCATTTCTAAAAAAGACTTTTTTTAGAAATTCCCATTGCAGAGAAGAGAAAACTGAAGCTGAGAACTTAAGTAATTTTCCCAGAGTCTGGTGAGTATTATCTCAGCAGAGCCTATTACTAAAGAGTTCTCTGAATTCTCTCAAGGGCAGCCTGGGTGGGATGGTTGGGAGATAATACATATGGGAATGGATTGAGCAGTGGAAAGCACACTAAAAGACAGACTCTAAAGATGTTTGGCTGTGAAGGAAATGAGAGACAGGTGGTAGACAATTGGAGTCCTCAAAAATGCCTTGAGTGGGCGGTTCTCTGCCTGGTCTGCAAAGGCCCCTTCTGATCTGGCTCTTCCCTGCCTCTTCCAACTTTTAAGCCAAAGACAGCACTCACTTCATGCTTCTAAGCCTGCAGGCTCACAATTCCTCCCATCATCTTCCTTTTGTTTCGACTCATTCCTCAAAACTCAGTTCAAAGTTTCCTTCTATAGAACGTCTTCTCAGCCTCATCTTTCTCAGTAAGTTTTCATCAAGTCACATTTTGTAATTCTTTAAAAATCGAAACTGCCAGGCTGGGCGATGTGGCTCACGCTTATAATCCCAGCACTTCGGGAGGCCAAGGCAGGTGGATCACCTGAGGTCAGGAGTTCAAGACCAGCATGGTGAAACCCTGTCTCTTCTAAAAATACAAAAAGTTAGCAGGAGTGTGGCAGCTGCCTGTAATCCCAGTTACTTGGGAGACTGAAGCAAGAGAATCGTTTGAAGCTGGGAGGCGGAGGTTGCAATGAGCTGAAATTATGCCACTGCACTCCAGCCTGATCAACAAGAGCAAAACTTCCTCTCAAAAAGAAAGAAAGAAAGAAAGACGAAACAAAAAAAAAACTGCCTAGCACAGTGCTAGGCACTGTACAGGTGGTTCTCAGATACTCAGCAGGTAATGAATGTTTTACCTGAAACGCGTGGCTCACTTGATCAGAACCAGCATACTAACCACCCTGCTTTTCCTGGTGGTTCTTGCTCTTCTCCGCATTCTGGTCTGAATTACATGGAGCTGAGAGCCCTTGAGTGTATGGGAGGATGGCATTTAGAAGGTAAGTGTGTGGTGAGGAAGTTGAAGCCAAGGAGCTTCCGTAGAAATGAGACTTCCTAGAGAGGTTTGGCCATAAAGAGAGATCTCAGGCAGCGGCTTGAGGGAGGCAAGAGAATAAATAGGTTTGTTGATTTATTTCTTCCTTTTATCAAAATAGTTCACGTGAAAAACCTTGAGTATGTTTGTCATCAAAAGGTGAGGGGCTTGTGAACAGGGAGGCTTGCTGGAGGAAGTTATTAGAAGGAGTAGGGGGTAGGGCAGAGCAAGAGCCAGGAAGCCTTAGAAAGGGGGAAGTCCTTCCACTAGTTGAGGAAATTAATCCCAGATGCCCTCCATCTTCTCCATAGACAGAAATATCTTCTCCTTCACTACCCCCAAGGAGTTCCCACTGCCTTGCTCACTTCTCAGTCCCTCAGAACAACAGACAACTAGTAGGGTTTAATAAATATTTGTTGAATGAGGTTATGATTGAATGAGGATAAGACTGGAAGAATACTAAGCATAGACTCTAGTATACGGTAAGTAGTATACAGTTCCCCAGTGGGTTGGTCTATGCAAACCTACCCCAAAGTCCAAGGCAGCTAAGACGGTGAAGAATGAGGCTAACAAATGTAGTTTCTTAGAAAGAAACATTTAGTAGGTATTTACAAACAGTAGCCTTGTGTGTGTCTCAGGTGGCTGAGGCAAAATGGTTACGACCCAGGGCTTAAATACTACAGGGAAAGGAGTGGCTCAGAAGGGATTTGTAGGACAATTGAAGTATTATAACATCAAGGTTATTTGACCTAAGGGCAGGACTGAGGGTCAGTATGTGCTCTTACACAAGGAACAGTAGATTAATTGGAAATCTCAAAGGCCTTCGAGAACCGGGATTGATCGGAAGCTAACATGGTGCATTAGCACCCAAGATAGAGTTACTTTGGACTCCTTGGACTCCAAGTATAGCCTGGCCTTATTTATAACAGGATTTCTGGCCGGGCGCGGCGGCTCACGCCTGTAATCCCAGCAGTTTGAGAGGCCAAGGCGGGCGGATCATGAGGCCAGGAGTTTGAGACCAGCCTGACCAACATGGTGAAACCCCGTCTCTGCTAAAAATACAAAAAATTAGCTGGGCATGGTGGTGGGCACCTGTCATCCCAACTACTCAGGAGGCTGAAGCAGGAGAATCACATGAACCTGGGAAACAGAGGTTGCAATGAGCTGAGATGGCGCCATTGCACTCCAGCCTGGGCAACAGAGCAAGACTCCGTCTCAAAATAAATAAATACAAGAACAGGATTTCTTTGGGGACGTTTATATTACTTCCATGTCCACAAACACTGTTCACAATAAAGGCAAAACTATTTTTTCTATCCCGATTATACCTCCATGTCCTCCTAGCCCCTCACTGTGGGTCACCTACACAGCTTTGACAATCCCTCTCCAGCTGGGGAGAGGGCAAGGATTCTAAGGCAGCACCTGCAATGAGACTTCTCTTAGAGGGGCAGCATCCTGTAACTCTCTTTGGTCCTGTCCTCCTAGAAAGCTGTAAACCATGTGGCCCATTGAAAACAAGTTGAGACTGTTCTAAATGCCCCTGCTGTACAGTTTTGTCCCCGGTCAGGGGTGAGGGTTTCACTCTTCTGTTCTTCTTGGAAAATTAGATAGCCAGATTAGGGTTTACACTGGCAGAGCAACAGACACAGTATCCTCCTAGTGGCGGCTGTGGTGCTCTGTACTGGGCAAGGCACTAAGCAAATGCCAGACATTGCTTACTGTCACCAGTGGCCAAAAAGAGGTAGGCTGTGAGGAAGTGAGCATTGCAAAATTCTATACTCAGTTGTTAAACCTTTCAAGAGCTACAGGAAGTCCATAAATGGATTTAAAAGTCTCAAGGGTACTAATTGATT